CCAACGGATTGGTATCCGGAGATGTTGGTGACCATTTTGTGCTGAAATTGAAGCAAGGAACCTCATTTGGTAACTATTCTTGGGTGGCGCGTGCTGAGTGCGATGGTGCTTAGTCCTGTTGGAATGTCCAAGGTCACCCTTCAGAATATTTTCGCTATAATATTCGGCATTTATTCTGATGCCACGGTCGATTAATACGAGCGGAGAGCAACCATCGCCTGTTATGGCGGCCCACGCCATCACCATGGTCAGCGCTTGAGTTCTGGTGGCTAACCGAAGGTGCACATTTTGAGCTCACCTCTTTTGCAAGTAAACACCATAATTTTGTTTGTTTACAAACTGCGGCACAACAAATGTTTTCTCATCGGAGAAAACCAAATTCGGCAGTTCTCCACTATCGGCCAAGCGAAGCAACTCTTTACCTCATTTGAGTCTATTTTCTTTCTGTTGCGGTATAAGTTCTTGCACTTTTTGGAATTTCAATGGCTTTACTCCGAGCTCATTTTTCAATATTTGCCGAATGGAATATTGCGATATGTTCAGATCACGAGCCATTTTATGAAAAAGGAAAACTTTGAATAATATATAAATGATTGAAAGTCTGAAAACTTAGTGCGATGTAAGAAGTTTTTTAAAAAGCAACTAAGTTCGGCCGGTTCGAACTTTTAATACCCTCCACGATATGGAAGAAACATAAAATTAAAAAAAAAATCCAAAAACTACCACTAAAAAGAAAACCGTTATACGAAGACGTGGACCCGCATACGAATTTTGTATGTCATAGCCTGCAGTACCCTTAACGAACTTTAAATGCGAAATTAGTAACAATTCCGGTGAATAATCTGGAGGTACCGTTAAATGGGGCATATACCAAAACGTGAACCTACATACGATTTTTTTGTCATAGGTACCCGATACGAACTTTAAATACGAAATTTGTTACAATTCCGGTGAATAATGTAGCACAAATCATTAAAATACCCAGTATTGGGAGGCACCATCATATGGGGCTATAGCAAGACGTGGGCCTGCATACAAAAAATCTTGTCATAGGCTGTATCACCCATTACGAACTTCAAATACGAAATTTAAAACAAATCCGGTAAATAATATCGCTCAAATCATCAAAATATCGAATATCGGGACGTACATTTATATAGGGGATATACAAAGACGTGGACCTGCATACGATTTTTTTTCCATAGGTTGTAGTAACAATTAAGATCTCCCAATACGAAATTTAAATCAATTTCGGAGAATAATTTTGCTAAAATCATAAAAATACCGAATATCGGGAGGTACCATTATATGGGTACGAAGACGTGAACTTGCATACAAAAATTTTTGTCTTACGCTGTAGTACCTATTACAAATTTCAAATACGAAATTTGCGGTAGTTAATTGCGGTAAATAATGTCGCAAAAATCATGAAAATGCAGAATATCGAGACGTGCTGTTATATGGGCGCTATACGAAAACGTGGACAGACATGTGCTCATTTTCGAACTTAACTTCTATCGCAATTCGTTCGAAAGATAGCGTGATTACAACAGGCAGACAGACAGACGGGCATCGCTAATAGAATTTTTCGCTGATCCAGAATATAAATACTTTGTAGGGTCCATCATGAATATTTCGAGAAGTTGCAAACGGAATCACAGAGCTAATATACCTTCCATAGAATGGAGGATGGTATACAAATGTTGTCAAACTGAATAAACTGTGAAGTCTGAGTACTAACAAGTAAAAAAGCAGCTAAGTCCTGTCGGGCCGAACTTTTTATATACTTCACCGTTGGGAGAAACTTGAAAAATTAAAAAAAAAAATTCGTCGAGTGACGAATGGGAGCAATACAAAGACGTACTCTTGCGTGTCATAGGCTGTAGAAACAGTTCCGAAATATATATACGAAATTTGAAATAATTCCGGTGAATAATGCCGCAAGAATTATGAAAATACCGAATATCTGGGGGTACCGTTATATGGGCGCTATACTGAAACGTGGACCTATTTAGAAAATTCTCTTCTAAGGGGTGAAGTACTCAAAAGAACCGCTTGTGTGAATTTTAAGACAATCCCGTTGAGAAATGTGTCTAAAATCATCAAAATACCGGAAATCGGGGGTACCGTTATATGGGGGCTATACGATATCGTGGATTTATATAGGCAATTCTCTTCCAGGGGTGAAGTACTAAGAAGCAACTACTGGTATAGATTCACAGACAATTCTATTGAAGAATATGGCTACACTCTTGAAAATACGGAATAACGGAAGGTTCTGTTATATGGGGGATATACGATATCGTGGACCCATATAGACATTTCTTACAGGCGGTAAAGTACTCACAAGGAACTTCTGTGAGAATTTTCAGACAATTCTATTGGAAAATTAAAATACCGAGTATCGGAAGTTGTCGTTACATGGGGGTTATACGATATTGTGGACCTATATAGTTAATTCTCTTTCAGTGGGTAAAGTACTCATTAAAACTCCTTGTGTAGAATTTCAGATGATTCCATAGAAAAATGTGGATAAAATCATCAAAATACCGAATATCGAGGGATACAGTTATATGGGGGCTATACGATATCTTGGACCGATATAGATAATTCTCTTCCAGGGGATAGGGTACTCGAAAGGAACTCCTTGTGTGGAATTTGAGAAATCATCAAAATACCGAAAATCGGAAGGTGCGGTTATATAGGGGCCATACGATATAGTGTATCGATATAGCCCATCTGCGAACTTGACCTGCCTGCAGAAAAAGACAGATCTGTGCAACATTTTAACTTCCGATCTTAATTCGTTTTGGCTCTAGCGTGATTTCAATAGACGGACGGACGTCCATACTATGTACGTATGGTGGAGGGCATAAAAATGCCTAACACGAACTGTTGGAATAATTCTAACATTTTTAAGAGAATTTTTCGCTGACGAAGTAGCGGACACTTGCTAGTCCTCTATATTTAAGCTTGTTGAAAGAATTATATTTCTGAACATTTATAACAAATGTTGTTTTTAAAATCTTTCACAATCCAGTTGTATAAAGATTTTAATGTAAAATATTACCACACTAAAAGACATGATGACAAAGATTAAAATTAATGCTTCCACCATTTGTATACAATGCATAAAGCGACAACGAACTGAAAAAGGGGAATCTTAGAGATAGCAAATTTCTCCTCACTTTGTTAAAATCTCAGAATGATAACTTGTTTCAATTGCAACCTAAGAGGAAATTATTTAAAAATGTTATCTCAAAAAGCGATGAATGTTAGGGAAAAAGAGAAGTGTGGATAAGAGAATTGTAAAGTAACGACAGTCCTGTGCAGCATTTCGTTTCATTCCTGGAATGTAATGCGGCAATCGTGTCACACACTTTCACGCTGAGGGCAAATCTGATTTCATCATTTGTTACATTAATAGATGGAGATTTGATGAAGCCACAGTTCGTAATGGTAGAAGCCAACTGATTTTTGTGTCACACTCATTTTTCATTTTCTATTTCCCCTTTTCGAGGGCACATCCATAGAATTTAGATTTATTTCAATGAGGAAAATGCTTATTTAAAATGTAGTATTTCGAGAAAAGGAGTAAATGGAAACAAGTAAAAAAGTTGTAAGTTCGGCTGGGTAGATCTTTGAATACCCTTCACTATTTTGAATAAATTTGACAATTCTCAAAAGAAAAAAAAAACAAAACAATAAAATCCGTTAAAAATACTGTTAAAATTTTAAAAATACCGAATGTAGCCATTATATTAGGGTCTATACGACTACGTGGACCTGCATAGGCAACTTTTGTCATAAGCCATTACAATATTCAAATGCGAATCTTGAATAAAAAATTCGGTGAATAATGTAGCCAAAATCATCAAAATATCGAATATAGGGAGGTACCATTATATGGGGGCTATACGGGGGCAACACACAATTTCCTGCCTTAGGCTTATTCATTTCGAACTTAAAATACCAAATTTGAAACGATTCCGGTGAATAACGTCGCTAAAATCATCAAAATATCGAATATCGGGGAATACCGTTATATGGGGGCTGTACGAAGACGTGGACCTACACAGACAATTTTCTGCCATAGGATGTAGTACCAATTACGAACTTCAAATACCAAATTTGAAACAATTCAGGTGAATAATGTCGCTAAAATCATCAAAGTACAGAATATCGAGAGGTTCCGTTATATGGTGGCTATACGAAGACGTGGACCTGAACAGACAATTTTTTATCTTAGGCTGTACCATATATTACGAACTTCAAATTTCAAATTTGAAACAATTCCGATAAATAATGCCGCTAAAATCATCAAAATACCGAATATAGGGAGGTAACGTTATATGGGGGCTATACGAAGTCGTGGACCTATATGGCCCATTTTCTGTCTTAGGCTGTAGTATCCATTACGAACTTTAAATACAAATTTTGAAACAATCCCGGTAAATAATGTCGCTAAAATCATCAAAATACCGAATATCGGGAGATACCGTTGTATGGTGGCTATACGAAGACGTGGGCCTGCACAGACAATATCCTGTCATAGGCTGTAGCATTCATTACGAACATCAAATACCAAACTTAATACAATTCCGGTGAATAATTTCGCTAAAATCATCAAATTTCTGCATATCGGGAGGTACCGTTATATGGGGGCTATACGAAGACGTGGACCTACATGGCCCGTTTTCCATATCAAAAGTCCTGCAGATATTATACACATTTGAGTAAAATTTTATCAACCTACTTCATTTCGTTCGGAAGCTAGAGCGATTTCCACAGACCGACAGATGGACAAACGGATAGGCGGACAGACGAACGGACATCGCTAAATCGACATCGCTTTGTTGGGTCTAAAATGTATATTTCGAGGTGTTACAAACGGAATGTCAAACGTAATATACCCTCCATACTAAGGTGGAACAAGGAGGATATTTAAGTGTATAACCAAAAAAAGAAAAAAACTTTAAATAAATAAATATAATTTCATATAATTTAAAAGACACTATCAATTTAAGTAAAGATACGAAATAGTTGGTGCAATATATTGTTAGAATTCGGAATTCTTTCCTAGAAGATTTGTAGGGAGTATCATTGGAGACATATTCCCACAAGCATATTCCAAATATAATTTGCAACTTTCCTATTGCTAGAAAACTGATTAAATTCATTACTTCATTCCTCTTCTTCACAAGCCATCTTGGATGCCTTTTGATGCCTTTTTTCAAAGATCTTTGAATGAAGCAAAAACTCCACGCCACATCGTTTTTTCATAGCAGAATCATTCCAGGTTGTGAAGTCATCCTGAGCATAAATCTTTTACAGGTAATTTAGTTTGAGGTGAATGCCATTTTGTGAAGTTCACGCCATCATTAGGCATTCGCTTCCATCCATTTGGGGAAAGGGCATAAATATACTTCGTCTGTTTTGCAAAAAGTTTTGACATGTCTAGAAAGTTAAAAACTATAAAAATTAAATGATGTAAATTATTTTAAGAAGGGAAATTACAAGTAAGTTATGTAAATGTTTAGAAAAATTGAAATTAAATTTAATGACTTTGAATATTATATTTTCGAATATAGAACAGTGTTGGCATGTTTATTCGGGATACCGTAGTATTTTGTTTTTGCAAAATCGCTTGGCTTAATCCCATTATTGTTGTTTTATAAAAATATTATAAACTCTTTCTTACTGGAGAAAAATGGAAAGATAACCAGTAAAGAAAGGTCAAAAGTCTGGCAGGGCCGACTATATGATACCCTACATCACTATGCGTATTTAGTAGAACTCATGTAACAAAAATGTTTATATTGTGTAGGTAGATCATACCAACCATGAACCAAATAACATTGATGTTTAGCGTATTATGATATGGAGTATATTTAAAAATATTTACTGAACAATATATACACCAGACCGAGTTTCACCAAATGCGGTTATATATGAACAAGTATATCCAATATGGGCTGATATTACATGTATGGTAAGTAATAACCGCACAATCGAATGAAGATGTGTATCGAAGCTATATAAAAACCTAAACCAATCCCTATAACATTTGCCAGAGGTATTTTCGAGTAGTATCTGATTCTTTGTGCAAATGTCATCGTTGTGAAGTTCATATTACGCATGTGAGTGACTTTACCACCAACTCGGAAGAAACAGATATATGGGAGCTATAGCTATATCTGAAACAATTTCCACCAAAATTTGAAGCACTTGATTCTAGACTGAATTCGGCCGGATGTACTAACATTCAGCTCATTTCGGCTAATTTTGGGCATTGGGGCTTTATCCAAATCTGGTATGATCTGCTAAAAATTTGATAGAGGTATTTCTGGGCTGTATTTGATATCTGGTACCAAATAGTATTCTGGTGGAGTGCATATTACGCATGTGAGTGACTTTACCACCAACTCGGATAAAACAGATATATGGGAGCTACATCAATATCTGAACCGATTTCCACCAAAATTTGAGGCACTTGTTTTTCGGAAGTACCAAAATTTTGGGTAAAATTTGACAGAGGTATTTCTGGTAATAAAGATCAGTGTTTTGGAGTGCATATTACGGGTGTGAAAGACTTAAAACCACAAATCGAATGAAACATATATATGGGAGTAATAGCTATATTTGAACCGATTTTGTTCTAGACTGAATTTGGTTGGATGTACCAAAACTCAGTTCATTTCGACTAATTTTGGCCATTTGTTGAACAAGTAACCCGAAATCGCTGAACCGATCTTGATAAAATTTGGCAGAGGTATGTCTGGGCCGTCTCTTGTATCAAATATCATCAAATCGGATAAAACATATATATGGGAGTTATAGCTATATCTGAACCGATTTAAACCGAAATTTGAAGTACTGGAGTCTGACTGATTTTGGTTGGATGTGCCACAATTCGGGTAATTGGGACTGATATTGGCCATTTGGTGCAAAATTAACCCGAAATAGGTTGACGGACGGACTGACATACATAAATCGACTCAGGTAGTGATTCTATGAAGATCCTCAAAAGTAACTATGGGTCTATCTGGTTTCCTTCTCCATGTTACAAACAAATGCACAAAGACATAATACCCTTACCACTATGTAGTGTGGGATATAAAATTATGGGAAGAACTAAGGGAGAACTTTGGCGGGGATCCACTTTACCTGGAATATAAGCAAGTTTTAAAGAAGCTGGGAAATCAGGCTCCAGTGAATGGGGTGAATGATGGACAAATGACAAATATCGTAAACAATCTGTTTCCTACACACTAAATACGATTTCATAGACGTTTCCATTGCTTTAACTGAAGAACTGCAAGCGTCAATTAAGATATTAAAAATAATAAGGTCTTTGGACTTTAAGGCGTTACAGCGGAAGACCTTAAGGAGCTACATACACTTTTCTTACGCCATGGAAAATATAACAACTTGTACTCATAGATAAAGGCAAAAGAGATTCATCAGGCTAACCGTCGTACAGGTCATTGGGTATGCTAAACACAGTTGGAAAACTCCCCCAGAGGCCCTTTATGATAAGAATAGAAGATGGAATACGCTAAAAACTTGGGTTAGTAGCTCAAAGAAGACAGATTTGTCATACATGTCATGGAAACGAATTTTGAAGTCCTTGAATAGCTTGTCAGGATGACAAGGGTGAAAGGGAATTTCAGCTAAAATTAGGAGTTGCACAGGCTTTAATCTTGGGTCCCGATCTATGCAATATTTTTTGATGAAATTCTTAAGCGTAGGATAGAGTGAAACGTGGCTGAGGTAAGCTCAGCTCTACCCAGGATCTTGATAAGGACCCACTGAACCTTATGAAATAAAAGGGGCAGATTTCTCCCTCTCTTGGGTGTGTAAATCAGATGTTTTATTGATTTAGATATTATTAATTAAAATCTACTCATGCTGACATACGATTAATATGGAATATAGGATGCCGAAAGTTTGCAGCAAAATTGTCCCTTGAAGATCGGAAGTCGAAGTTTAAGATATCTCGTAAACATGTATTTGAACGACTCGTGGACAATCGGAAACTATGATTGGTACTCAGGTGGTTAATGTGAAGTGTAATTAGCCAACGATTTGAAGGTGAAAGTGTACTCGTGGGTGACCGTCGGATGTTGATAAGTGAGGAAGAACAGGAACTACGATGTTTGTGTTCGGTAACGCAGACTTTCGAGGCGGTGACGATTTGAAGATTATCGGAAACTTGTGTACGATCTTCAAATGTTGATTGATGTGGGAGATCGAAGATTACGATGTTTGTGTGATTTGAAGGTAATTGGGAACATATGGTTGTTGACGGGTTGAATGTATTCAGCAATTACGATGTTGGTGCTCTTAGTGACGTCGGTGTTCGCGATGTTGGAAACCTCAGTGAATGGTCGTCGGATAATCGTGGTTTTCGATGTAGGTGGTTAATATGTTAATATTCCGGTCTTTGGAGGGAGCTGAGAGGATGGCAGTACACTGTAGTTCTAGTCGAGAGCTGCTGTCCAGGTCTTTTAAGATGGATCGGGATTCGTTAGGGCCTTTACAGAATACCCCACTGTGAATATACTCGTAAACAAAAATCTAGGTTTTCGCACATGGACCGGGGTTCGTTCGGATTCGGCAGCTCGATGAAGGTATGTTCTGCAGCCGATGTCTAGGCTTTGGCAGATGAATTGAAATCCGATCGAGTTCGTCTGCTCACTGTGGATATACTTGAGGGTCGTTATCTGAGCCTTTGCGCATGGATCTGGGTTGGTTCGGCAGTTCACTGTCGGCTATTTGGGTCGTTTACAATGGCTAGTAAACTATTGTAGCTAGCACTATAGTTTGCGACTGCCACTACCAATGTTTGAGCTATGGTACAACGCGCCGAAGCCCATGTGTAAATCAAACACTGGTCACTCAATGTAATCCAGGAAAAATATACACAAAATGCCCAAGAAAAGTAAAGATCAATACTAGAGCATGGCTAATATTACAAAGTTAGAGCTACCTATGCGAAAACCCTAGCTGGTGTTATTGATTCGACAACATATTCCAGGAGAAATTAATACGGACCTGAAAAGCTGTAACGTATCTCGGGATACGACTAGGCAATAAACTATCGTTTTTGTCGCAGTTTAACTATTCAGCTGAGAAGGCTACTTCCATCGCGGCGCAACTAGGCAAAGTTTTGACAAAAACTAGAGGGCTCTTCGCTATGGAGTTAGGTAAGGGCATCTTTACGGATGGAAATGGCGAATCGGACATACATAATGTTTTTGATGACTTTCCATTGGGACGCTGAGTTAAACTGTCTCCATCACTTTTCGCAGCTCCACAGTCTCTTAGCGGTAAGTCGCTAATATTAATATTAAATATTAATCTGTTTAACGTGTCTTGTTCTGTCGTTACGAATTTTTGGAAACTCCTGTTTGTGAATAAGAGCCAAAAAGTAGAGTAAATTTGTACTAGTTAGGATGCCCCAAAATGTTTTCGAAATGCATTTCTGTGTGCGTCCCTGAGTAAAATAACCAATTATCTTCTAATTCTTAGAAAAGAACTAGGACAATATAGCCATAACTTTGTCAATGCCATATCTTTTACAATAATTCAAATATGTGTATGTATACTTCCTTAATCAGCATATTTTCATTTTTCCTTTATCAATTGAAAACTATCTAATTAAGTTTCTTCTCATATCAAAAGAATAAATATTTATTTATATTTTCACTTTGTTTTTCTTCACTTTCCATATTGACATTCGACTTGAAAGTGTAGCTACATTATGAGTACATTTACCACAGACACAAGAATTTATTTCAAAGAAGTTAAATATTTACCGATTGTGGTTTGCGTTTAATTGTCAGTTTTAATTTTCATACACTTTGGGTTTCAATAAATAAATAATGAGCAAAATTTTAAATGTGACAAGTGATGTGGTTAAGTTTTGTTGACTTAGTAATTAGATTGATTGATGCATGTTATAGTTGTTCATGCGAAAATAATGAATAATTCTGGTAGATAGTTTGGGAGAAGTTGGAAATTCTAAGAAAACGTCGTATTCGGCATGATTTGGATTATAAGTTAAAGTGGGATGAGCATATCAGCACTTTCAGCATTACTAGTAGTAACAATAACACACAGTCTGCCGTATTAGAAGCTGGAAGGCTATTGTAAAAGAACTTAGGATTTGCTGGGTAGTGGTAGTGAGTTATGAATTAAATACAACACATACATTTTCTATAAATCAATATTAATTCACTTTCAAAATTAAATCTATCAACTCTGAACTGCAAATTAAAACTAACTAAACTAACAATAAACAATGAGAATTTAAATTCTTGCAATTAAAACTTAGCGAGTATTAAATCAATAAAGTTAAATTATTAAAAAGAGATTACCCTCAAACATTTCGAAGGAAAAAACTACCACTGAGAGGAAAAAAGAGAAAACCAGTAAAGAAAGTCCTAAAGTCGGGCGGGGCCGATTTT